ACCCGACGCTCCAGAACGTGCAGGTGTGTTTCAGGTAGGCTGGATCAGGTCACACCCCCTTTTTTGTTTTTTTTTTTTGAAAGAGTACAAAATGGTAAAGTAGCATTTCATCTGCGTTGCTGTGAAAACCTGAACTTGTTGTGGTGGGTCCCTGAAGATTCGTGGGCTTCCAGTAAATGCTGGTCTGCAGCAGAAATCTACAATCCCACATCACTCAGGGGAGGACCAAGACAATTGTTGTTTGTGGCTTTCATAGGATGGTCAGGAAGAAGTAGTACAGGCCTGTATCCCATCAGTAGCATCGGTCCAGAGGCTGTTTAGAAAAGCGTTCCAACAGAAAGATGCCAGGGCAGGAAAATGAGCAGCAAAGTATTGTCATAGACAGGTCTGAGACCAGTGGGGTTGTCAAGACTCAAAAATATTGCTGATGTGTACTAGGCTTTCCTTTGGTTAATGCTAGCAGCCTTTAAAAGGCTCTCAGTGAGATGTCAAGCTTACCCATTCCAATTCCTAGATGTCCTCAGTTTTAGAAGGTAGAAGAGAACTTTGTGACTTCTAGTCCCTGCCTCCAGCTGTACCTCTCCTCGTCTCGAGAGCTTGCTTTTCAGCTTCTTCTTAAAAGCTTCCAACCCAACCAGCAGCTCTGCTTTCATTCCGGCTTAATGTTGATTTGATATTTGATATTTGATAGTTTTTTTGTTAGCTGAGGATTTGATCTTTCTTCCTCTGCTATTACTGGAGAAATCTAGCTGTCTTCTCTGGAAGCAAACATTGAATCCTTTATCAGCTTTTTAGGCTTTAGTCACAGGGGAGTGTGGCGATTTGCTTCACAGCATACACAGTTGTGGCTGGAGGTTGAATCTCAGGTTGGTTTGGTATTGGTAAGAATTTAGAAAAATTTAGAAAAGGTAGCATTTAGGCATGGGGGACAAAAGAAAAAGAGAACTTTTTACAAATTTTATGTAAGCAAACCCCTTCAGTCTAATACTCCATCAAAGGGTGTGTGAGACAGCTGGGTTATCTGCATACTCCATCCCTCATGGATCCTTATTAGTGCTTGCAGGGGGTAGAAAATGGCAGCTACTCCCTGTTCTGCAATTCAGAGTAGAATAAACTGGCCCAGTCGTGTGAGTCTGTGGCAGCAGCAGATACTGAGCCTGGCTTTTCTACATGATTTCAGCATCTTCTCCCCAAGACCTTCCATCTTCCATTAACATTTACCCCTCTCACATTTTGGTTTTATGGCTTTGTTTAGGGAATCAATTAATAAAAATTTGTAACTTGGCTTTATTTTTCATTTTGCTTTGCAGGCTGATTGTCCCCCTGCCCCCTGTTTGCTCAGCTGGCACTTTGGACTTATGGGGTGCCAGGGGGGACTTCTGGTGCTGGGGCTTCAGGTGTCGGTGAAAGAAATCTAAAACCAGGTGAACTGGGAACAGGACACTGCGTTTCCTTGCAACTCTGCCTAATCCTTTTAGATTATTCCTCAGAATTGTGTAGATCATTCCTCAGAAGAGGTAACAAGCTAAGAATACACCGATAGCAGTGAAATAACTGAAAATAACTGGCCTGCGTGGAAGATTGTGTATTTTTCAGAAGCTTAGCCAAAGTATTGTCAAAGTTTTCCAATAAAAGGCTGTTCCTCCCGTATCTGTTTTCAGCAGAGCTTGCCTGTGCAGTTACCAGCTTAACTTTCCAATCTGTTTTTGTATTTTCAGTTACTGTAATAGAAATTAAGTCGTGAACTTTGAGTTGAAATACAGATTTTAAAAGTCTGCAGTAATTAGAGCTGACTGTTTGAAGATTAAAGAAACCCCCATTGTGAGACTTCGAACCTCGAAAGCTGGGAGAGTAGCGTGTGCAGATTCTCTAGGTGTTTTGAGGTTTATTTGTCTATAATTGGTCAGGACAACTACCTCCTAAGGCTGTTGGGTAATTAACTGTAGGATATTGTAACTCTTTATGATAAAGCAAAGGGCTGGTGAATTACAATTAGTGGTTTTCTTAATTTGGTCTTAGGTTACTTACTTAAATACTACGATTAAGCTGCCCTACAATGGAAAATGAACAAATCTTTCGCAGGAAAGGAATGTTTTCACTGGCCAAATGAGATACATTCAATTCCCATACACCCATGGAAGGATTTCAGATCTCCCATTTCAGAGAGATTCCAGTTGTTTGGGTTTGTTTGTTTGTTTTTTTTTCTCCTGCTCATACTGCTACGATCTCTTTGACTTTTTGGTCATTGGCAATTTCATTTTGGTTGTTTCTTTGATGAAACTGGGTTATTGATACCAGATGGTTAGATATCTGGTTAGAGAGCAGGAAGAAATTCTTTGCTGTGAGGGTGGTGAGGCACTGGAACAGGTTGCCCAGAGAAGCTGTGGCTGCCCCATCCCTGGAGGGGTTCAAGGCCAGGCTGGATGGGGCTTGGAGCAACCTGGTCTGGTGGGAGGTGTCCCTGCCCAGGGACATTGAATTATAAATCGCATAGTTAAGATTTTTCAGTGACTTCTCTATGCGTATGATTTCAGGCAGATCTGGGGATGACATAATGCAGAGCTCTCAATCTATGGCAAATTGAGAAAAAATGGCAAAGCCTGATCCCTGCAGTATATCCCATGAGCTCATTAATAGGTGGAAGGAAATGTGTACTCTAAGAGAGGTAATTTATCAAAAAAAAAAATAAAAAAAATCATGTAACGTCTTTACCAAAATAGAGTGTGTTTGGGGGAAGGTTGAGCAGAGTTCCTCTTAACTGAAAGGGATAGTTTAATAATTAATCTGTGTTTAGAGATTATTCTACAGCTGTAGCAGAACATGCTGGAAAAAACTGGTGCGTGTCTCTTAAATGAATGGAGCTTGTTGTCTGCATCGCAGATTGTTTTAACAGTAATTGGATAATTTGAAAACAGTTACTTCAGAACTTTACCTTCAGGGGAAAATTCTTCTCCGAAATATACATGGCTGACTCCTCTTGAAGCCTTTGCTTACGCGTTCTGACGCTGAAAACAGCTCTTGCTTTTAAAGTCTTTATTCACACTGGAGAGGTATCTGCTGTTGGGGCAGTTCTTCCTTTCTTGGGCATGAAGGAAGAAGTTCAGCTCCTCACCTGGATGGCAGGGACTGGTGCTTAACTGGTGACTCTTCTTAGGAGGCACTTCCTTATTGGTGAAGGCGAGGCCGTGTCTGAAAATTGTCTAAAACGCTTCTTATAGGTGGGGTCATCCACAGTGATTCCTGCTGCTGGGGGTAGGTCATTTAGGAGAGGCTGAGGGACTTGGGGCTTTTTAGTCTGGAGAAGAGAAGGCTGAGGGGGGATCTGATCAATGCTTATAAATACTTCAAGGGAGGGTGTCAAGAGGATGGGGCTGGTCTTTTTTCTGTGGTGCCCAGGGACAGGACAAGAGGAAATGGGCACAAACTTGAATGTAAGAAGTTCCACCTAAACATGAGGAGGAATCTCTTTCCTGTGAGGGTGGCAGAGCCCTGGACCAGGCTGCCCAGGGAGGTGGTAGAGTCTCCTTCTCTGGAGACATTCCAAACCCACCTGGACACGTTCCTGTGCAACCTGCTCTGGGGGGACCTGCTTTGGCGGGGGGGTTGGACTAGATGATCTCCAGAGGTCCCTTCCAACCCCATGTGATGCTGTCATTTACTTACATCTTAATGAAACAAAACAGATGTGTAAAGCTAGAACACAGTCTCAGCAAGGTTTTTAAGCACCAAGAATCTTCATCTGATATTCTGTGTTCTATATTGTTTGTACACCAGGTGGCATCAAAGGTTAAGCGTTTCTTCAGGATCTGTTCCATTGACAGACATAAAATGACCCCCCTCCTCCTTCCTACCCGGCTGAAAACCCCGGCCCAGCTGACAGCCCCATTGACCTGAGGCTTTTCCTTTACATATTCCTTTGTACCACCCCCTGGGCCTGGCAATTCCGGACAAAAGGCAGGAAGAATTCCTTGTCTGTCAGCAGCAGCCACTGCAGGCTTAGCAACAACTCCTCTCTGTCGGGGAGTGCAATGACAGGACAAGGAGTAACGGTTTTAAATGGGAAGAGGGGAGATTTAGATTAGACACCAGAAAGAAATTCTTTGCTGTGAGGGTGGTGAGACACTGGAACAGGTTGCCCAGAGAAGCTGTGGCTGCCCCATCCCTGGAGGGGTTCAAGGCCAGGCTGGATGGGGCTTGGAGCAACCTGGTCTGGTGGGAGGGGTCCCTGCCCAGGGCAGGGGGTTGGAACTCAATGATCTTCAAGGGCCCTTCCCACCCAAACCATTCTATGATTCTGTGACAAACACACCCTGCTCGCAGCAGGAATGTCCCCACCCCACTGGCAGGAAGCAAAGCTCACGGTATTTAGTATTTCTGGGGAGAAAGGAAAGAAAAATAAAACATGGCATCTTCGGGAGTAAGAGCTGAGGGGCAGCAAGGTATCACGGGGGTTTGGTTTTGCAACAGTCAAATACTAAAGGCTTCAAAACATAAACGGTTAAACTGCAAAACTGTGGCTTTTATTTCCAAACATACAATAAATAGGTCCACCACAACTAGCCTCTAACTTCATTTTACATGGAAGGATTTTAAAATTAGTTTGTGCATATTTAAAAATGAAGAACTTCCCTTTGCACGTAACTCCATACAGAACCGAACTGCGGGACACACCAGCCGACGGTCTTGGCACTGTGATGCGAGCAAACCCGTTAGAAACAGCTTCTGAGCAAGCACTTCAACACAAATTGCAGTTTGAATTGTTGAGAAAACACCTACTAACAATTTTTTATCTATTTCTGAATTATACAAAAAACCAAAAAAACCACTTTAGCATGTAAATGCCGAAAAGCGAGTTGTCTTCTCTTCCCGTTTCTGTAGGGGCTGCAAGGTGAGCGAGCGGATTTATTAAGTGTTCACTATTTGCTACACGATACGTACAATTTTCATACCAAAATATCTTTACTGCATAGTTAACATTCCTTATTTTCAAATGCAAAAAAGAAATTAGATGCAGTCTCTCTCTTTTATTCCTCATCGCTGAATTTTAAAAGACATTTTTGAACCACAACTCTTGCTTCATCACAGTGCAGAAGGCCCTTAAGAGTTCAAGGATTTATTCAGTCGTATCTCTAATACAAAAAGTAGAGGCTGAGGAAAAGCCAGAGTAGTCTATACACAATGCACAGTCTGTGTACATTCCGAAGCTGTACCTCTTCAAGAACTAGTTATACACTCTGCAAACAAATCCCTTTATCCAGCAATTCAAAATACTTTAGATCAGAAGTTTTATATTAGAATCAATACATTATATGCATATAAATACATTTTTATACCCTTCGGTTGCTAAAACAACCCAGATGGCTGCGAGGATGTGACCTGAATTGGGTTCTCCACGGGGCTGGGAAACCAAAGTGGATGGGCAGCTGACCCTTAACCACCACAGTCACAGGAAAACCTGGAGATCTCTGCCCAGAGCAGGTGTGCTGGAGCATCCGTTAAGACTAGAAATAATAGGTGACACCCCAGCCCCTCAAATTGGGCCAGGATTTCAACTTCTGCGAGATGCAACACACATCTGTGAGGCAACATTTTTCTCCCCCCACTCTGCCGATGGCCCGTTCAAAAGTCTCAGCAGAACAACAACGAAAGAAAAAAAAAATAAAATCCCAAAACCCCAACAAACCAAAGCGAAGCTTTTACAGCCGCCAATTTTCTTACGGGACAGGTGCTGCAGCTTTCAAGAACCAAGTTAAAAGTTTTATAACTAAAAAATTAAAAATAAAAAAAAAACAACCCACCCAACAAAAACCCAACAGAAACCTAATGTGCAAGTGTGTAGTTCAGAAGCCACCAGCGAGGGTGGAGAGAGACCTCAGTTCAAGCTGAAACCAAGCAGTAAGCACGGGTGGAAGCGAGAAGCCTTCTCCACTTGATGTCTCTTAAAGGATCCAGAAACGCCGACGCTCTCCAGTATCCTCCAAAGGTGCTACAAGTTTGGAAGTTTGACGTAATTTCTTTCCACGATGCCAGGGATACAAATGTGTATCTTTTTTTTTTTTTTTTTCTTTTTTTAAATAATATTGCACATAAAAATCATCTTAAAACTTTGTAGTGAAAGCAGGGTTGAAGGACAGTGTTTTCCAAAACGGATTAAAAAGCTACCTGTACATAATAAGTTTTGATTTAAAGAACGCCAAGATTATTCAAAATCTAAGCACGTAATACTGACAGGAAAACGTTAAATTGCACAATCTACATATAAATTACATTTGTAAATACTTAAAAAGTTTTTAAAACATTGAATACCCTTGATTTCACAAATCAGCTAGGTCACTGTCAAAGGATCAGCTTCATGAGTTAGAAGTATTCCCCCCCCACCCCCCCAAAAAAAAACCAACCCAAACAAAACCAGAAACAAAAAAGATCTGCAGTCTCAGACGAAGCACTGGAAAGAGTTAAAGCATCTCAGCTCAGAGGTAGTGCTAAACACATCCAACTAGAAGTCCATTATATTTGAACTATGATGAAATAACGTAGTAAAATGTAGAAAGACTATAAAATTTACAAAAATAAATAGTTCTGAATGCTTTTAGAAAATGCAAGAGACTCTGCTGTCAAGCGTCTCGATCTGTTTTTCTGACCGAAAGAAAGCAAAGCGTGTCTCTCTCTCTTTTTTTTCTTTTCTTTTTTTTTTTTATTTTTAAAATATACCCATCTCTAGTAACGCGTCCGCAATCCGTGCGATCCAGCTACGCGACCTGACGTACGGCGACCCGGCATAGACTCTGCTAGTAAAAATAAAGAGGAGGCTTTTTGTAAAAGATCGTCTCCGTATGAAATTCGTTTTGCATGTAAATTCTTCTGACAAATTAAAAATTGCACATAAAAAAGTTTATTGAAAGAGGCATGGGGGGGGGTGATAAGGGTATGTGCCTATTGTTCCACATACACCCTGGAAGGAAAAAGATGATTGCACAGTTCTGATAAATAAATATTTCTTTTTTTCTTTTTAAAAAAAAAAAAATCTGCCACTTTTTCGGTTTGTAAATTTTGGAATTATTTAGAAAATCCCACTATGGACAAGTTATTTTTAGTTTGTGTTTTAAAGAATTCTTTACAACTTTTTTTTCCAGTGGCTTTTATCCTGAAACCAAAGGGAAGCGGCAGTTAAAAAAGTATCTTTGGGTAAAACAAGTATCAGGATCCGACGAGGATTTCCATGATGTGGTCCAACTCGCTCAGATCCGTTCTACAGATCTGCATGTTGCCGGCGGAAGAAGAATTACAAGATGGAAAGGTTTTGAGTGGTTCTTCGGCAGCAAGAGAGGGCGGCCTGGGCGGCGTTAGCGGAGGGCAGCAGAAGTCCGAATCGTACATGGAAGTATCGATATCTTCAAAAATGTCATCTATTGCCAAATCCTTCAAGTAACTAGTTGAATTTGAGATCTCGAAGGAACCAAACACACATTCGGCTCCCTTCAAATCCTGTCTGTCATCTTCTAGTTTTAGACTGGCGCTTTCTGGAAACTTTGGCTGGTCATCTCCAGTAGGAACCAGACAGGTTGGGGGGCTTATGTCTTCCACAAAGTCTAAATCCTTCAGAATGGATGAAATGGCAGATGACATATCATCATCTGAAACTATCAGCAGGCTGTTTTCAATTGGGTCTTCTACAGCCCGCAAGTCGCAACAGTTTGACTCTTGCTGACCGACACCTGAAGGCAACTGAAGGGAAATCCCAGATGACTCCATCCCCGGAGCGTAGCTGGGAGAACTGGGAGTAACGCCAGGGCAGACACTGATTGGCTGCTGATTACTCTCCTGTCTCATTTCCTCTTGAATTTGCCGTACCGTGTTGGCGATGAGGACGGAGCGGTGCAAGTTGGGTTCCACCAGCATTTTGTAGGTCTGTAACTTGGTGAGGCACATATTGAGCACCAGCTGCCTCTTAAGCGGGTACGACAGACTTCGACTGGAGTCAAAGGCACTGGAGAGACCAGCCATGTTCTCCTCATAGTCACTCAGCTTGCGCTTTAGACCTCTCCCCAACATGAACCTGAAAGACAGAAATTAGGAATTAACCTTGGGCGAGACTATGGTGTCTCCTGCAACATCTCAACAGACGCTTCAGAGAAGTCCGTAGCGCACAATGTATTGCTGAGCTCAGACTCTAACGCTGTAGGACACCAAAAGATGGAATAAAATCCTACAAGGGTACTGCTTTCACTGGTAAAATGCACTTTCCAGCTCTATTGTTTTACAACAAGTTTATTTTTTATTTAAATCGAAAACATGAAAGAATATAGAAACTTTTTTTTTTTTTAAAAGCTATGTACCTCTACATTTTGGTTTTAAGATTTACTTTCAACTCTGAAAACATGAATTATTAAAAAAAAACCTTTAAGAGGTGAGCTTTTTAGCTTCCTGTCCATTTAAATCATATAGCATACAAAAAAATCATTAATAAGAAATACCTGAATGTCCACATGAAATAAAATAGATGCTTATACTAAGGCTTATAATAGCTATACAGAATATTCCAACATTTTCATTTTAATTTTCATTACTAGGTACAGTAGGTGAGATTTTAAAGCTAGATTCAACACTATTTTTATCTCATTAAGGCATTCACATCTTGCTCCGCATCTCTGAGATCTCTCTATAAGAATTCATTTATCTCCCTCGTTCTTCAATGACTGAAAGCTCTTTGTAAATCATGGAATTGTTGGAGTTGAAAGGGACCTTCTAGAGACCATCCAGTCCAACTCCCCTGCCAAAGCAGGGTTGCCCAGAGCACATCACTCAGGACCATCCAGGTGGGGCTTGAAGATCTCCAGAGAAGGGGACTCCACACCCTCCCTGGGCAGCCTCTTCCAGGGCTCTGCCACCCTCACCCCAAAGAAGTTCTTCCTCACATTGGAGTGGAACTTCCCATGTTCCAGCTTGTGCTCGTTGCCCCTCGTCCTGTCCCAGGGAACCACTGAAAAGAGTCCAGCTCCAGCCTCCCTCAACCCACCCTTTAGATACTTGTCACCATTACTAAGGTCTCCCCTCAGCCTTCTCTTCTCCAGGCTAAAGAGCCCCAGCTCTCTCAGCCTTTCCTCATCAGGGAGATGCTCCAATCCCTCCATCACCTTTGTTGCCCTACGCTGGACTCTCTCCAGCAGTTCCCTGTCTCTCTTGAACTGGGGAGCCCAGAACTGGAGGCAGGATTCCAGTTGTGGCCTCCCCAGTGCAGAGCAGAGGGGGAGAATGACCTCCCTCCACCCACTGGTCACACTCTTCCCTACGCAGCCCAGGATCCCACTGGCCCTCTTGGCCACAAGGGCACATTGCTGGCTCCTGGAGAGTTTAGTGTCCACCAGGACCCCCAGATCCTTCTCCTCAGAAGTGCTTTCCAGCAGGTCCACCCCTAACCTCTACTGGTGCCCGGGGTTTTTCCTCCCCAGGTGCAGGACCCTACACTTGCCTTAATTGAACCTCATTAAGTTCTTCTCTGCCCAGCTCTCCAGCCTGTCCAGGTCACACTGGATGGCAAATGAAGTAGAATTTAGTTGCTTTCAGTCTATTTTGTTTGCTGTTGCACTCAAATATGGCAGGTCTAGAACACCGTGGTACAAAAAACCTCCATTACGCATGCAGACCTAAACTCCACGTGATCCAAACAAATACATGCTTGGATACTTTGCAATTATCATTCAAAATGCTATTTTATTAGGGATGACAGCAGTATGCAATCACTTCTATAAACACAGAAAAGGAGTACACCACGCACGGGAAAACACTGGTAAAAATCTTGATTACACACATCTTGCAGTGTCCACGGACACGTCACCCCCAAACAATTAAAAATAAAAGTGAAGCAATTGTAAATTAGACCCCCAGTGGCAGATGAAGGGGAGATCCTTCACACAGAGTGATCCAGACCCTGCCTGCTGCAGTGGGCCTCCCGGCTTCCTTTTCATGTGAGCGCTGGACACTGCCAGCAACAGCTCAGCTGATCGCAGCAGCTGCCAGCCTGTTGCTAGACTTTTGGGGACAAGGAGGAGATGGCAGCCCGATAAAGCCTCTTTTTCCTTTTGGGATTTCTCCAGATTCGCAGGAAGCACCGCAGGGCTCGGCGGCTACACCCAGCGGCCTCGACAGGGCTGCTGGAGAACCCAGCTCCTCTGGAGAACAGCAAGTCCCTCAGCGGGGCACGCTTCTCGGCCAGACACAAGGGAAAACACAAAGACAGTTGGTGAAGGAGTTTTTAAGTTTACGATCACACCCACTTTTTCTTTTAGGGACATACCTGGATGAAATAAAATTTGTCATCAGAATGCATTTTTACGTAGTAGCTTGGCCTATAGTTCAGTTTGCTAACGTTCACTATTGAAAAAAGAAAAAACCAACCCAACAGAAAACCACTTTAATTACTTGTAGTTTTACCAGCGCTGCAATTTTTAAACTTTTGGAAGTCTGTTTCACTCAGAAAGTTTTCTACTAAACTGCTCCAGCACCAGCCAAATCCCTTTAAAAAATAACATGAGGCGTCTGGATGTGGTGTGCCTGTTCCCCCGGGTGACCCTCCCACACTCATCACACATCACACCCCCAGTTCCAGCACCCCACTGGGAGCAAATGGGACCAGGCAGCTCCAAGCACCCTGCTGCAAACCCCATCAGCAGGAACCAGGGTACAAAGTTCAGGCATCAAACAGAATGGGTATTTTTGGGGGGCAGCGGGTGTGCCTGTATGTCAGGCATAAACATAAATATACCATAACAGGTCACAAAGGCAATTAGTGCCTGTAGATCACAGAAAACTCACAATAGAATGATTAACCGTCCCTTTTAAGTAGCATTTAAATGTTGTGTACTAAGACACTCCCCCATACTATTACTATAAAGAATAAATGTATACATCAGAATGGTTATTTGTCCACTAAGCACCGTCCTTCCCATAGACTGCACACTACTCTGCTTTTCTCTCCACTAACTGAAGCAGACCAAAATTATATATAAGTAGTATGAATTTCTAACATCTCAAAAATGGGGTAGTATTTAATTTCTGTAAGCAAGCTTAAAAAGAAAACTACCTACTGTGAGGACATACAGTATCACAAGAACAACTTAAAAAGGTATTTTATCTTTAAATTCAAACAGTAGTCTAATTAGACTAAATATTTCATGCTTATATATGCAGACACTCTCCTTCCCTCAAATTTCCTTCATAAAGTTTGTCCCAGAGGATTCTAGAACTATGTAACACAGCTCGAGCGTGACAGCGCTCCCAACTATAAAAATGAAGTGCAAGAAATACTATTTGCTCCAACTTCAAATGTTTCTACTTAACAGACTCCCCACCCTCCAGATGTCAAAATTGGTTGGGTTTTTTTTTTTTTAAATATACAAACATACTCGTATCTTGTGCTTTACAAATCCTGCCTGTTTAGCGTGATTTTTGCTTTATTGCGAGAATCCGTAAGACAGAGGTTACATAAAAATTTGGAAAATGAAAACCCGAGTACCACTGGTACACTGGATTTAAAAATTACTAGTGTCATGGTTGCTACAGGAGACATTAAATTTCAGTTCTTGTCAAACACACTGAGCTGCTGACCTACAAAAGATACAAAGCCCCTTTGTTACCAGCTAATCTACATTTTATCAGGCCTTTTGCTTTACTTTCTAGCATAAGAATTTCTGACAGGGTCGTTATCTTTAACAAAACTACTTCGTATTTTCTACGTAATTTGTCCTTTTGTAGCACTGCGTGTTAACACACACATCCCAAACCTGGAATTCAGAAGCCAGTCAAATTCTCTCTTTTGATACCATTTCTTTGCAGTAGAAGATGTTGATGACGTTATTTAATTACGCAGTGCTCCCCACACTTCAGTTTTTGGTACTGAGGAAAACAAACAGAAGTCTACACAAAAATCCACGCTACCATGCCCAAGGCAACAACCCTGCAGCACAAGGAGTGTCTAGAAAAAGCACCTTCCTTACTCCAGCCCAATTCCAGGAAGCTACTCAGATCTCAAAAAGTTGGATCAAGTCACAGGGTTTTGGAACGTGCCAATCTGATAGCTCTGTAATTCCTAGGTAAATAAACTGAACAAAAATTAAGTTTATGCCAGCTTCAAATGTGAGGTCTACACATAGCTGTTCGATAACGAAAGAGGCAAGCTGCAAATCAACTTTCTCTTGAACTTCAAGAAAAAGTTCAACCACCAACTTTTTTTAAGTTCAGATGCTCTATTTTAGAATCTTTTGTCGTGAAAAAAAAACCCAAGAACAATGAGGAACACAACAACTCTTTTTTTTTTCTGGCATTTTCTCATCTTCTCTCATTATAGCAATGCAAACTGAGCCACAGGCCATTTATGGCAGAATGCCTTTTTAATTAAAATTATTTTGCAGATAGAGAGAAAAGGAAGCAAAGCGAACTCAACGTGCAGGAGTGCCAAACTCTCCATCCGTGTCACCCAACTACAAAGGAGTCTGTAGAGGTAGAAATTCTGCCCCCGACACCACGTTCCTCAGTTCCTTCCAGTTCCATGGAGGACATTTCACAGAAACTCCTCCCTGCTAGGAGGGGAAGAAGCACCCATGCACTGTAACCCTACACCGTACCGCAGTTTGAAAAAAAAAAATTAATAAATATATCAGAGGGTAGAGGCACGTCCCTGGCTGGCAAATCCATGCAGAGTATCAAACAGACAGGCCTGCTCAGAGCACGCAGCTACTCCGAAGAAACATTCCAGGCCACCAAGAAAAATTCGCCTTGTGCTATGTCGTGGCCACCATTTCAGAGGGAAAACACAGCTCCATCTGTCACAGGGTGTGATAGTGCAGTGCAGCTGCCACTGCCACACGGCTAGGAAGTACAGCTGGAAACACTCACAAAGAAGAACGCGGCATGTGAAAACCCTCAATTACTTCTATCTGGGCAAACTGCGTCTTAGTTTCCTCTTCCTCACCTTCCAAAAAAGATTTTAAGAGCAAGTTAAACAATGTTTGGAACTCAGAAACACAGAGCTTTAATTTTCACTAGGGAACAGCATTAAAAAACACAAGTGTATAAAACACAACTGCCAAGGTTAGTATTGTCCTTTCATGCACAAAACGAGCACTATGGTCAACTACACCAGAGTTATTCATTTAAGTTATCCATTAAAGAATATGTTTAAATAGCAAGATCATCAATAAAGTACTGGGCTCGCACTATGAGGGTCAAAATCAGTTCATTGATAGCGGCCCCTTCTGGCTTTTCTTTTTAGGATGTTATTAAATTCAGGCTTGCCTCATCCCTTTAATAGAGCCACAGTGTCGCATTTTTCAGCCTGAGATTGTCTCAAAGCAATAAATGACTTTCTCTCACAGGACAGAAACACCAGACTTGAATTGGTGTAAGCACCTCATGAGTGAAAGCTGCCTGTCTAGTTTTCAGTAACACAACTTGAGTATTAACATCAAAATTAGAGACTCCTTGCTACTGCAATTTGGGTAATTCCCTTTCAAAGTCTCCTTTGGCTAGTAACTGTAGAAAGCACGCCACAGCAAAACCAGAAGTCTCCTTGGATTGTAAACTTGTGTTAGTGACTGGCTGAAGCAGATCGATAAGCTGATTTCCTGCTCTCCCTTCTCTTCCGTGGACACAGGGCTCACAAGCACACCCCTGTGTGCAGGAAGCACAAAGGAAGACAAGCCTTCCCATCCTTACAGTTATTTCTCAGAATTACTCGACATACACTGCATACTATTTGTACTGATTGCCTCTCACCCACCCAATACACATTTTAGCTTAGGCAATTAAAACTATTAATGAAGTTGTGTGAACTAGTGGACTGTGTCTCAACTAACATTCCATGTGTAAGAAGCTGGGCAAGAAAAAGGTAAGGCTGAAGGTCCAGTTAACAGACACTATAAATCCTTTCCTCCCATCTGGACTTAACACTGATCACTTAAACACGACTTACGTAACCCAGTAAGCTGTCAGACTACACACACACACACCAGTAGCTCTCATCTGGTGTCCTCAGCAAGCGTTGGAGATCCCCACAACATCACAGCTCGGCTCCTGGCAAAAACCGAGAGGCAGCGAGGGAAGGAGGATTAAACACCTTAGAAAACACTGAAGTAAAAACTAATTTGGAGCTGAAAACACTTTAATATACACACTCACACACACACAAAAAGTATCCAAGTCCATTGCCTCCCCACCCCTCCCAGCCCTGCCCCAGTTTAGCCAAGATGAGTAACTGCTGGAGAAGGCAGAAGTGGCTAAAAGTGTGCATACAGGGAGGAGCACAGTCCTGCCAGCTTACACCCATACCTAACCTCCCGTGGAACAACTTCTCTTTACAGGAGTTAGAACAGACCCGAAAACTGCTGCACAAAGAAAGGACAGTTAAAGACAACTTTCTGGTCACCAAATCCTGACCTATAGTACACCCAACTCTGTTGCTATTAAAGCAACTGGCACACAGAACCAAGATATGCTACTGTTCAGACTCAAAAACACCACCACCACAACCAACAAACCAAAATCAGAACAGACATACAAACCTTTAAACCAAACCACACAGAAAAAAAAACCCACACCCATGGATGTGCCTAACACCCTTCCCCTCATTTTGAAAATAAGAGTGGGCTGAATAGTAGTCGTTAAGCAGAGGAGAGGAATGAGAGGAAGACTGAGTCTAGCACAGAATTAGTCCGGAATTCATAACCTTCCCGCTGTCACATCCCTATTTGTGGAAGCAGAGAATAAATACGGATCATACACTAATATTTTAGGAGCTGCAATGTTGTTTACAAAGCACCCAGGAGTGAATTTTACTTTGATTTAAAAGTTAGTTTGAACGCCCCCCACACAGGCAACCTGTTTATGTTATGTCTAATGGGATGTGGAAAATTCCTACACTTAAAGGACATCTTCCTAAGTTCCTTACTCCCCTTTTTATTTCATAAAGCACTGATAAGAGCTTCGCTTTGCCAACTACCACAGCAGCGAAGTTTCAGAGCAGCACATTTCACCCTGGAGAAGAAACTCCTCTGTTAGGAAGCTGAAACAAGTGGGTCTGGGCTGTTTACAGGAGCCAATGAACCGTCCCCTCAGCAGCTGACACCTACCACTAGAGGCTAAGGCAGAACGCCGTATCAGCTTAGGTAGAGACAAACTTCCATCCTTCAGAGAAAACAAACTAAACCCACCATCCCTCTTCTCCTTCCTCGAGCCCTCTACACCTGTGTATTCAGTTCCACGTTTACAAATAAAGCTCACAGGTTTATCTGTCAGGAATTTTGGGTGGATTTTTTTTTTTAACAGAAGAAAGGCCTGGAATCATTTAAACTAAGGATCAATAGTAGTTAGCAAAAGGTAACACATGATCAAGAGTTACTAAATCTAGAAACTCCCATAGTAAAACTAAGCTGTCATTAAATGAGAGCATAAAGGAATACAAACAGCAAGAACCAAACCACCAAAGTATCTCACTGGAGGAACAAATGATCATTAGAACTGCAAACGTGATGGTACACCACTCCACAGCTTGTTCTCAGCAACTGAACAGCTCTCAATCTGTTTTCTTTACAGCATCTATTTACTTCAAATACAGAGATACTGGATCTACTCAACCACGTAACACTGACATGTATTTTAGGGTTACGGTGATCGATGTAAAGATCCATGAAAAGCAAAAGTTAATAGCTTATTTAACAACAGCAAATCAGCATATCCATACTTTAACAGAAAAACTGTTAACAATAAAAGCAACCAATAAAGAATAAAAAACCAAAGCAGCTCTTTTCCTGATAGAGGACCATGCATTTACTCTAGCCCTCTGCATGGGATATTTAGATAAATAATTTTCAATAACCAAATCAGAAGCGACTTTAAATTTTAACGAACTAGCACACAACTTTTCTTTAGCATCCGAAGTGTCTTCTCCTCACAAGACCAGACTGTGACACTCAATTTCAGCAGCTGAACAGTGGCCTTATAGCATAATTGAATTATTTGTTATAGTACTTCCTTGTCATAAAGCAAAAAAAAATAAAGTAATGCAAATTCATAGTATTCAAACCAAACAGCATATACTACTCAATAAGCCTAAAGCACTTGATATTATATACCCCATTTCTAAAAATTATTTTTCAGTTTACTATTCTAACCCACAAAAAGAAGATCTACAGCTGATTATCAGAACATGTGTACGCACATAAGACATGATTTCATAAAAGCATACAAGTAGTTACCCTTAGAAAACAGAAAGGAGTTCAGGCAGGAAGATTCCAGATTTTGCATAAAGTGTGGTCATCCAAGAGTCTTGAGCTATTCAAGAGGCCAAGCCATCCACCGAGGTAGGACGATGTGAACCTAAGGGGAAAAACAAGACAAAACCAAAGTATTTCATTACTATGCGATTTTTTTTTTTTAAACCAGAGGTATTAAACACACAATTCAATACATTTTAAACAATTTGTGCTAAATCCTACTAAAACAGTTAAACTGAATAACAAAAACTGAAGTTCGTCAACACGCTGAACTAGGAGGACCTAATTTCATGTTTTATGTGTTCACAGGTGAAACTATTATCTTATATATATGAATACTACAGAATAGAATGATGATCCTCTAAGTGCTAGGCTTTAGGATAAGAACTTGCACTGGTTACTGAACACCAATTTACAGTGGTAATCACGTCAGAAATCACATCTCAGGACAGACAACACCATGAACTGTAAAGAATTACATTTCAGAATTAACCCCTAGCATTTACAGGCTGTAAAAGGAGTTAGATTTTTATAAAATTTCCTAACCTTCCTTGTTTTCAGCAGAGATAAAACCAATCTGAGAAGGCAGCTGGCACGATGTCCTACGACTGCATACCATATTCATCGTTTTCATCAAAACCCTGATAAAGCAACATCTGCAGTTGGGCTAGAAACCGCATGCATCAAATCATGGATTAGATGATTCCAGGCACTGGAAACTCTGGGAAACGTGAAAAGGCTGAAGTGACAGCAAACTATGGAATAAGCTAGGAAACGTGGAGGGAACTGCACGATCCGTGCTCTCGAGCTCTCATCTCCACCTGAAGAATCAAAGTTTTTTTAATTCCAAGATTTAAAAGTCCTTATAGAGGCTAACAGCCTACTGTCTGGACTGTATTTGACATGTTTGTGTGTACAATGTACATACATACACACTCAGACACCTGCCACCCAGCTACAGAAAATCGATCACTTCACAAATTTACCACAAGAGCCAGGATCAGACAAATTATCTATCCAGACATACACAGTCCTTCATGAGCAAGAGTCCATACGTTATTTTAAAAATCTTAATACATAGTGAGAAGCAGTCTTACATCTAGAAAATGGACAAGTAAATGTATACAGTTCATCTCACACAGCAACTCATAGCCAGATGCTGGCAAAGGGCTCCTCCATTTATAGAACGTCACAACTGTAAAGACGCAGTAAAAGAGCAGTAAAATGCCTGTGACGTAAGAACACTAAATCTAACCCACAGCAATAAACGCATTCATATCTCCTTCCTCCTTCTAGAAGCTGACTTCTTTCCTAGCGTAAGGAGATCCATGCTATTTGTAAATACAAAAAAAAAAAAAAAAAAAAAAAAAAT